CATGCAATGTAGTGATCTTGAAAATCGGCATCGGTCATCTCCTTTCTCCCAAAAGGAGAGAAACGGTAAGTGGGAAAAGAGATTAAAACCAGAAAAAGGCATTCCAAGAAAAATATGATATTCCCTGTAAGGCAAACATTAGATGTGGATACAAAAGTCAACTGAATGCAGCAATAAATAAAAAGAACCCATGATGGGGCCTCCCTGGTGGTGCGCCCAAGCTATGGCAGCCCCTGCGGCCTGAGTTTGATTCCTGCCAGGGAGTGACCCCAGGGCACAGCAGACCCCCTCCTGCCGCCCCTTGCCTGAGAAGAAGCTTTATAATAATTCACTAAGGCGTCCATCCATGTTTTATGCACTTTCTGGAACAGGGGTCCATTTGTAACAAACAGGTGCATGGGGAGTCACAGTGGCAAACAGCCACCCAAACACCCGTAGCAATTTCAATATGGAATAAGATAGCAATTCCTGCGGAAAACTTCGTATGAGTCCCAAAGACAATAAAAGGAAAGATAATCAAGAAAATACAATAATTACGAGTAAACCTTCCTTATAACATAGCCTCAAGAGATAAAAGCAATTACTGATAAAACCACAGAGAGAAACAGGTATGGCAAAAAAACTGAACAGATTTTATCATAAAGTCTCAGAGACCAGAAACCAGAAAATAAAGTATGCGAGACTAGAGAAGATGAAACAAGGTTAGTAGTAAGCAAGTTACCAAGCCCAGGTAACATCACACCTGGTAGCCAGTGGGGTCTCGGAGACACGGGGAAGCCCAATACCTCACCGCGTGCCGGGGCCCAGGGACACCTCCACGGGCCCCAGCCGTGGTCCCTGCCTTCGCTCCGTTATTCCCTTGAGTCTGTCTGTCTGTCTGTCTATTAATTTATACTAGAGCTGGGGTGCAGGCCAGAGGTGCTGGTGGTGAGAGACTCCCCTGAGACAGAGTGGGGAGCAGAATAGGCACTGACAGACCCACTGCTGAGGGGCAGTGGGAGACAGATGGCATCTATGCCCCAGGGTCACTCCCTGGCCAGGGATGGAAATCGTGCTGCAGTGACTGTGATAAACTTCAGTGCTGTACTTTAACCTCTTGCGCCAGCAGGGAGGCCCCAGTTTCCTTGGACACCCAGTAATAGAGAGCAGGTGCAGCCGGAAGGGCAGCCAGGGGGAGGGACATCCAGCAAACAGCCAGCACTTCCCCGGAACGAGGGGCGCAGAAGGGACTCGACTCTGTCCTCACTGCAGCCAGGACAGAGCGGAAGAAGGGACGTAAGAGGCCAGACCAGGCGATAGCAGGTGCTCAGGAAGGCAAGGGGCAGTGAAGGCTGGTGACTTGCAGTTTTATCTTTTTTTTTTTTTTAAAGATTTATTTATTTATGCATACAGAGTTGGGGTACAGGCCAGAGATGCAGAGGGTGAGAGGATTCACCAGAGACAGAGCGGGGAGCAGAACAGGCAGATGGACGAAGTACACTGCTGAGGGGAGCAGCGGGCGGGTCAGGAGAGGTCTGCCGCGCCATGTGGATCTCCTCCGGGGCAGGCGGGGATCGAACTCATGAGGAACTGGTTTCAGCTTCTTTGTGCAGTGCTTTAACCCGCTGCGCCACCAGGGAGGGCCTTATCTTTTAAAGATTTATTTTCGTTTATTTATTTATGCATACAAGAGTTGGAGTGCAGGCCAGAGGTGCGGGGAGGTGAGAGACCTCACCAGAGACAGAGGGGACAGAACAGGCAGACGGACTGAAACACACTGCTGAGGGGAGCAGCGGGGAGACTGGACCTCTGCACCCTGGGGGGTCACTCCCTGGCAGGGATACAGGGGATCAAACCGTGGTCGTGCTGAGACTTAACCCCTGCGCCACCAGGGAGGCCCTGAATTCCAGTTTTAAACGGACTGCACAAGGGAGGGCTTACTGAGGTGACATTTGAGTAAAGACCTAAAGCACGTGGTTCTCTGCGGGAGCAGGGTGCTTGGTCCATACAGGGGTCCTAAGAGCAGGAGCCCCGCAGGGGGCACGTGATGGCAGTTGCCGCTGGAGGAGAGCAGGGTGGGAGGGGGGCAGAGGCTCAGTGGTTGGAACAAAGGGAGCCTGTGGGCCATGAGGTCGGAGGGACAGGGAGTACTGCCCCTGGGCTATTGGGAGGCCTTCTTTCATCCTGGGGCACTGAGAAGCCTCTGGAAGGTTCTGGGCACACTAAGTGAAGTGACTTAGTTCAGGTTTGACAGGGATGACTCCAAGCCTGGGCCTGAGTGTCTGGGGAGGACGCAGTTGCTCGCCCTGGGATGCAGCCCTAGAGGAGTGGGTTTGGGGTGGTGCATAAGCCACTTGAGGGCCTCTCAGACATCTGGGGTGTCTAGTACTTGCTGCACTGAAGAGCATCTGGGCTGGAGCAAGGAACTTGGGGATCAGCAGGAAAGGGCTGGTGCTGAAAGCCATGAGATTGAAGTTACGCCCCCATTTCAAATGGGGGTGGGTGCGAGCTGACCCCCAGGCCAACGCCCCTCCCAGGATGCTGTGCAGCCTTTCCTTAGCTCCTCAGATTCTGAACTTGGACCATTTGGGAAGGCCGCTGAGCGGCAGGAATAGCGGGAGGATCAGCCTCAAGCCCAGGAACCCATGGGCCAGTTCTGCTTCAGTCCCCTTCGGACAGTTGCGGGGGGTTAAACATTAGAACGTGGCAAAGTGGCTGGCACAGAGATGCGCTCACGAAGTGGGTGCTGGTCGTCAACCCAGTGGTGTCGCCCAGCTCCACACTGGCTGTTCCCTAGTCCGGCCCGTGGGCCTCGTGGGTGCTCCCTTCAAGCCAAAGTGCCCGGCTGGAGGACGCTATCGACGTCCCGAGTGTCCCAACAAAAACATCACAAAATTCAGGGCCTCCCTGATGGTGCAATGGGGTAAAGCGCAGCACTGTGAAGCTGTCCGCAGCCGCTGCAGGCTGAGTTCAATCCCCGGCCAGGAGTGACCCAAAGGGCACAACAGACCTCAGGTCTCCCCACTGCTCCCCTCAGCAGTGCACTTCATCAGTAGGCCTGTTCTGCTCCCCACTCTGTCGCTGGTAAATCCTCTCACCGCCCCTGCACCTCTGGCCTGTACCCCAGTTCTGTGTGCATAAATAAATCTTTAAAAAAAACACGACATTTCACTCCTGATGTACCAAGCCCCAAAGTTACAAAATGTAACAAGACAAGGTATTTCACTGATCTTTTTCCAAAAGACATTTTACCAGTTCCTTCGAAAAACCCCACACAGCAGTGAGTCACCAGCGAGTAAGAAGTTATTTTAATCATCCTTCTCTCCATCGTCTTTCTCCTGCTCAGGCCCTGATCCTCCTTCCCAACTGACCAGCTTCCTGTAGCCCAGACCTTCACTGAAAATATGTGGGAATGATCTTTGATGTCTATAAAGAACAGACTGAAGGCAGTCGCAAGTCTCTATGTAACAGCGAGCTGGAGACTTGAAAGACAAGAATCCCAAACATCTTTCCTCCCAGGTAGGAAACACACCCAGCCCCGAGAAGGTCCTGGAAACCTGAGTAGTAATTTCAAGAGGGATGAGTGTGGCGTGAAAAAGTAGGGTAGAAATCTGTGCCCCGGGAGTTTTGAGCCAAGATAAGCAATACACACCCAAGAAAGGAATCAATGAAATTTAGGCAGAGAAGCCAGCAAGCATTGTCATTTTCAAGGCAAAAACACATATAAGCTTATATAAGCTTAATAAAAAGTAAATAGCTACAGGGTTCTCCGTAGGGTGGATGACGGGCGCGTCTAAAAAGGCTCGTGACGATGCCGACGTGGTTTTCTGGGGGGAAGACGTGTTATAGTCGCAATGTGCTTCAGCAGCCGGCCTGGGGCTGAGGGCTGAGTCTGGACACCAGCTTGCCCACTACCTGGTCAGTTTGAACAGAGGGAGGCGGTCTACGTTGCCACCCCCATTTTGAAAGTTTTGAAAAAAATCAAGATCGCGTTTTCATCTTTTCCGCGGACGAAAGCACAGCTGTAAGGGCCTGTCTGGCCCACGCACCTGCATATTCAGCACCTGCTGTGGCTATTACCGGAGCCGGCAGAGGTGACTTCGCGAAGTGCAGTGACTAGAAGGTATTGATGGGACAGGCTGGGCTTGCGGAGAGTCTTAAAGGTCAGGGAAAGACGGTGGAGATCAGGGAGCAGAGCTGAGCCTGACCGTGGCCAAGACGAGCCCCTGCGTGAGTGACGGCAGCGTGGAGTTAAGCACAGCAGCCAGGCCGGCGGAGCGGAAGGTCTCTTGTGCGGCGGCAGCAGCTCGGGAGAGAGAGTGACCCATGCACACGCAAGGCTCTGTTTTTTTTAACCCACCCGTTTTCCAAAAAGAAGAGACTCAAAGAAGATTCCTTCTGAATGTGTATCACCATTTATTGTAGCAATAAATTGCATTTATTGAACAGAGGGCATTATCTGTGGAGGGGGAAAAAAAGAAAAGAAAAAGAAAGCATGTTTCTATCGACTTAATTTCTTCAAAACACTTTATGGTTTCAAATCCTTTTTTACCCCACAGGAAATTCAGGAATTCAAGTATGCTAAGTAGCAGTAATACAAAATGTCATCTGTTCAGGGGCCGTGGGGGGAGGTGTGTGTGCGTTTCAGCCTGCAGACGGCCGCCACATTTCTTGCACTCTTTTCTTGCTTTGGTCAGGCCAACCCCCGGGGACACGTCGTACAAATCAGGCCGGCCTCGATGCACAGACTCGAGGCTGGAGGAATTCATTCACCCTCGCGGGATCGCCGTAGGATCTCAAACCGTCACATCGCATTAAAAAGCCAGTCCCTGCCCTCCCCCGCCGCCAGTCACTTGGGTCCTGGTAAACGCAGGCTCGCCTCTGCCGTAGCTGCTCCTCAGCGCCCTAGCGGAGGGGCAGTGGGCAAGGACCTGAGCGATAGGGTTCTCTTCATTTTGTTCACAATAAAAAAATGTAAGGGACATTTCAAAAGAAAAAAAACTGAAATTCAAATTCTGAAAATATCTTTGCCTTTTTTATTAATCATGTCATCTAACACCAATTAAAAAAACAAATATGTGAATATGATATAAAAATACGATCCCAGGATTAACACTTTGTTGCAGGCACAGTTATCTCACAGAATATATGTTTGGAGGGCCAGGGAAAAGAGTTTATTTTTGTTTTGCTTCTCTTAAAAAAACCCACAGCAGTGCAAGTTGGGTTGGGAGGGGTGGGGGGGGCAGATTCTTTAGCAGCAAAATGTCCAGGGTTCTCTAATCACCATCGAATCAGCGGATACTGGATTTAGGGGGAACATGAAGGGGTTGCTGCCCAGACCAGTGGTCGTCCATCGCTGAAAGACCTCCGTCGCCAAGCCCGGGCCGCGACGCAGGCAGGCCGTGCTTTCCACACGAGCGACCACGGCGTGTCCCTCCGCTCGGCCAGGCTGTCACTTAAATATATGTACAGGAATCGGGCTCCTCGTCTCCTCCGTGTCCGCGCAGACCCCGTTTGGTCGCTCCGGTGGGCTCTCGGGTGTCCGCCACATTTGGCCTCTGACGTTTGACGGTTCTGCGTCCCGTGCGCGGCCTGCCCGCGGCCAGGGCCGCTTTGCGCTGGGCAGGGCGGGTCAGTGGTCGCCGCTCTGCTTCTCTCTCATCCAGGCATGAATCTGCTCTTTCAGTTCTGGCACTGGGAAGGGAAAACAGGGGGTCAGCACCCCAAGGGGGAGGAGGGGCCCTTCCCGAGGCTCGCCGCTGCGTGGGAGGAGCAGCCGGGCCGCAGAAAGGCAGGGAGAGGGTAGGGGGAGAGAAAGCGGCAGGGCGCGAGCCGTGGCCCTACCTGGCTCCAGCATGCTCTCCGTCAGCGTCTGCCGGTTGAAGGGGTCGGTGGGGGAGTTGAGCAGGTGCCGCAGGATGATGGAGCGGTCCATGACGGTGCCGGAGGGCAGCCGCACGGGGTCGGTCATCAGGGTGTCCATCAGGGGGTCTACGGAGACGGAGCACAGACAACCCAACCTCAGCACCTGAGGGAGAGCGGGGCCCCGGGGCTAGCAGGCAGCGCACCCCCAGGGGCCGCGGGGCGCCTGCCGTCCAGCACAGGCCAGACACAGACCGGCCTTCCGTCGGCTCCCGGGGAGGGAAGAGTGGGAGAGGAGATGGGGCCAGGGAGCCAGGCGGGCGGCAAGACCGGGCTCCGGCCGTCTCAGGAGCTGCGCGAGCTGGCAAGAACGGGCCTCGGGCGCCTCAGGGCCGCTGCCTGGCTGGAGTCGGGCTAAGCCCTCACGTGGCCGCTTCATTTACCACATGGAGCAAACGAGGCCAAGGAAAGCCCCGAAACACGCCTCAGAAAGCAACTCCAGCCCACCGCGAAGCAACTGAAACCCAGAGGTCTCGAGCACCGCCCTCGGGCGTCAGCGACACCCCGGCCGGCGGCCGCCCACCTCGGAACTCGTCTGGGGCGTCGCTGTAGTCGATCTCCGCGCGCGCGTTCTTGGCCACGATCTCCTCCACCTTCTCCGCGAGGAGCTTGAACTTCTCTATGGCGATTGTAGACTTGATCCCCGCCTTGCGCATCTTGGAGATGACTTCTTCAAAGAGCTCCTTGCTGTAAGATCTCTGCAAGTGAGGAGAGAAGGCGTGAGCGGCACACGTATCCTACAAGCTGCGAAGTACCCAGCCCTTCAAACAGGCCCGAGTCACAGCACACACACCCGTGGCCAGGGAACCCACGGCGCTGGAGAGACAGGCGTGGGCCCGGGCAAGGCCAGGGCTTCGGCGTGCGGCGGGTGAGGGCATTTCAGATGTTCAAAGCAAACATGCACTTCTTGTCCACTACAAACATGGAAAAGGTGGTTTTCTGGGCTCTCCCGGCAGCAGCCTGGAGTGAGCAAACAAGCACCCTGAGGGCAGCCCGGGAGCCTGTCCCTGACCACAGCCCGAGTCGCGCTGACGCCCGCGCACCGAGCCGCTGGCCTGCGGCATCTGCAGCCGCGTGTGGAAACTCCAAGCTAACCGTGGACGGTCGAGGCGAGGGTCCGACCAGCCCTGGCCCAGACCCTGCCGGGACAGCACGTGCTCCCCGCTCAAGGGTGGCTGCCGCTCGTCTGCTCTGTGTGGGTGTGACTGGAAAGCGCAGCTGCTGGCCTCGGAGGCCCTGGCACTCAGCTCCGGCAGGTCTGCAGCCTGGAGGAAGGTGCTGGCACCCAGACCCGAGAGGGGCAAATGCCTTCAAAGAGCAGTGATGGTGGTTCCAGACGCTCTGGGAGACGGGGTGGGGTGGGGGGCGCGCCGGGGAGGGGTGTGGCGGGTGCCCTCCTCGGGGTCTTGCTAGAAAAGTCAACAGGCTGGAGAAGCCCGAGTGTAAACTGGGAAAACTCAGCGTCGCGGTGACGGCAGCGGCTCGGGAACGGGCAGGGCTGACGTCGAGTAGGCTGGTGGCTGGAGTCAACAAGTGCAAGTCTCTTTGAAACGCTGACTTTCGATGGTGACAAACCAAGGGCCTTTTATTTATGGCGTTTAAGATGCAGCGGAGAAGGCCGTCTGGGAGCGGCCAGGCCAGGCCTGTGCCTTCGGAGTGGGACGGTCTCCCTGCCCAGCGAGGCTGCGGGAAGCGGCCCCCGGTCACGTCAGGGTGCAACGCTGCCCGTGTCCCTCAGGTCTCAGCTCAGCATCCCCTCAGGGGCCTTCAGGGCGGGGCGTAGACGAGCTCAGGCGGCCGCCCCACGCACCGGACTAGCCCTGTGGCCTCGGAAAGCCCCAGGCTCCTGAGCACCCCCCACCCCGGGGTGAAAGGCGGGGCTGCGCCCCACTGCACAGGGAGCTAGGGCCTGTCAGCCACAGCCATCCCCAGACATCAAAGTCCACTGCCGCCCTGGCGGCAAAAGCAGTGGCCACCTGTCAGCTTCGCGGAGGGAAGGGTGCCAGCTGAGCCCGTGAGTGCCAGGGCCAGCGCCTGCGACCCGCCTTTCTGACCAGGCCCCACCCGCAGCCGCACTTGCGTTCTCACAGGCTGCCTGGAATTCTTCCGTCTTCCTTTTTTCCTTTTTTAACTTCGGCTTCTAAATAAGCGCACAGGCTCCCTTTCCCACACACCCACACCCTGCCTAAATCCGTGCAACGAGGGAGAAAAGAAAGGCCAAAGTGCGATGGGGAGCCAGGCCAGCATCACCCCAAAGCCTCCTGCCTGCGGCCCCGAAGAGTCGAGTTCCGCCGTTAATTAAACGGATACTTCACTTGTGCCAGACAAGCCCCTCTGCAGAGGGGGCCCGGGACCAACCGTCGAAGGGTCGCAGTGAGTCGGAGTGGTTCCCCAGCCGGGGGGGTGCCGCACAGACACCCCGAGATGATTTCACCTGCACCTTCTCTTTGAAACACGTCGCTGTGTTGAGCCGTCTGCCATCCTCATAAACACCATCAGTTCTTGTTCTCGAAAGAGGAGGAGTTGTTACCAGCGCGCTAGCTGCGAAGGCGGCCTCCGAGGCCCACGCGTCCCCCGCTCCTGAGGACGGGACGCGGCTTTCGGCCTCGGGTCGAAGGCCTCGACGAACCCCCCGGCCCGTGTGGCGGGGCTGCTGCGGCCGGGCGGGGCGAGCGGACGGCCGGGGCAGGCTAGGAGGCGTCGGGGCTCTCCAGAGCAGTAACGAGAGCGGACGTGGGACGCGCGCAGAGCTCAGAAGGCCGAGGCCCAGCTGTGCGGGGCTCCTTACAGCCAACAGCACAAAGACCCCGTTTACATCATGGGCGAAGGAGGGGAAGAGCCGCTGCCCCCGCGACGCAACTCGGCCGCCCGGCAGCGTCGTCGCCAAGCGCGGGGCAGACGTTACATCCCAAGGCGGCAGCTACTCGAGCAACAAACAGAAAAGACGCCGGCGGAGCAGGAGAGGCCGTGCCGCACGGACGCCGGACGGCCCCTGAGCAACCGCTGACTCGTGCGGCCCGGCGCTCGCGCGCCCTCCTCAGGCCTGAAGCCAGCGCCAGCAACCTGTCCAGAATGTTCGCCAAGTGCCCGGCAGCCCAGGCGCGGGCAGCTGGCCCGTCTGCACGGCTGCCCTGCTGGGGGACGACCGGGGAGGCGGCGGTCTCGGCACGCCACGCAGGGACCAGCGTCCAGAAGCCCTGACGGTCACCCCGAGCGTGAGCAGTTTGTGGGGTGGCGTGCACGGGGGGGATGGGGACGCAGGGTGGGCGTTTAAGTGGACAGCGGGGAGGCCAGGTGGGCTCAGGGCCTGGCAGTCGGGCTAGAGTCCTGCTTCTGTCTGCCACGAACTCTGACCTGCAGAGGCCACTTAACTTCTCTGTGGCTTGTTTTATTTTCATTTACTTATTTTAAAAAAGATTTATTTATGCGCACGAACTGGGGGACAGGCCAGAGGTGTGGGGTGAGAGGAGTCCCCAGAGACAGAGCGGGGAACCGAACAGGCAGATGCACTGAAATCCCCTGCTGAGGGAGCAGCGGGAGACGGGAGAGGTCTGCCGCGCCCTGGGGGCCACTCCCGGAGGATCCTGGCGGATCCAACTCAGGCCGCTGTGCGGACAGCTTCACCACGCTGTGTCGTTAACCCCTGCACCACGGGAGGGCCCTCGTGTCTCATTTTAAAATGAGCCCAAATCAGAGAATTCCGCGAGGCCTCAGTGAGTGAAGACAGAGAGTGGCTAAAACCTGGCATACAGCTGGCAAACAGGAGCCACCGACACAGCGAAGGGGTGGGCGCCCGTTAGGGCAGGCCCTTTCATGGGTTTGCTGGAAGCCACAAGGTGAGGCCGGGCAGGGGTCGCCCAGACGGGAAACAACACCACAGCGTTGGGAGGGGGCTGGGGAGGCCCGGCCGCGAGGGGAGCAGGCTCTGTGGGGCGCGCGGAGCCTCGAGCAAGGCAAGAGGCTCACAGCTCAGCGGGAGTCGGCTCTGCTCTCTCCGCCCGAGCAAAGCAAACACTCCATGTCCGTTTACGCCGACGGCGGCCTTGGCCCCGCCGCTGCTCCTTCTGCCGACGTAGCAGAGCTTTCCCACCGCCATCTGGAAAGTAAAGTGCCTTCCTGGGCGGCGGGGCAAGCCGGGCGCGGATGAGCAGGGCGCTGCAGCCTCCCGCTGGCCGCGGGCCGGGCCCCAGCCCCGAACACCACCCCTCGGCACTGACCTGGTCGTCGGCGATGGCTTTGGCGAACCGGGCACAGTCCAGCTGCAAGTAAATGTCCGTCAGCTGGTCCAACAGCTTCTTTGGTTCAAAGCCGTATTTCTCAGGGTTTTCCACTTTCAGGTCACGGCACTTGGGGCCACAGAGTTGCTGGAGATTAAAGTTCAGCATCGCGGCCAGTCGGGGTCCCAGTTCCTAGGAAGTCACCGGACAACAGGTCACTTCATACTGTTGAGGGGCTGAGGAGGACCCAGAACTCCCATTTCAGTGCAGAGCAGGCTGGCTGGGCTCAGGTCAAAGAGCCCCTTTGACGCCACGGGCCAGAGCGGAAGGACGGGCCGTGCTACGTCTCCCTCCCTCTCCATGGCTCACCCCGTCATGCTGCTACCTGCCGGAACGCCAGACGGGGGGTGATCGATTATCTATTAGTACTATAGTGAATTATTCTTTATGAAATAAAGTGACCTTCCCTTAAGTGTTCACTTTGAATTCTCGAGTGTCACTGCAAAGGCGGGGCGGGGCGGGCGGGGCGGGGCGGGGCTGAGGCACCAGGCACGGCGGGCTGTCTGCGTGCTGTCACGCTCCGCGTCGAGCTTCTAGCACGCCGCAGGGCCCGTCGGGCGGGAGGCGTGCGTGCCGTCCCTCCTTACTTACAGACAGAGGGCGGGGCAGTGCCGGCAGAAGCAGAAGTGAAACTTGCATGTCTCATGGTGTTGAATCTGGCCCGTGAGACAAAGTAAACTCTAGAAAGCAGCTGTGAAGGAAGAGCCCGTGGGCCGGCCCGCGCCCGCCACGGTGGGCACAGGCAGCTGCCGGCAACGTGCCGCAGGCCAGCCTGGCTCAGATCGGAGTGAGCCTGGCTCGAGAGGGGCGCAGTGAACACCTCCCTTTAAGACACCAGGTTTCCCCGCAGTCCACTGACTGGACGTCCCCAGTCCAAATTAAACTCAGCTTTCGAAGACCTGCTTTGTACCGAGCAAAGGACCCTCTGATTTGGCAAGAAGTCGTGAACAAGGACTGATTAAAAATAAGACTGAGCTAGTGATTCTTTTTTGAAGCAGGGAAGAGTTGTGGACAGCCCGGTGCAGAAGGTGAAAACAGTCGTGGAGGAAAAGGGGCCCCGCAGGCAGGCTCAGGCCCGACGGGCAGGGAGCGGGCGGGCGCGGGGCAGAAAGCCCAGGGCTGAGAATACAATGTGGGAAAAATGTTTTTAATTGACAAGAAAATATTGGACTTAACCTGTAGCAACAGCCTTCAAAAATGAAGAATTTAGAGCTAAAAATAGGTTTCACGGTAGCCTTGTCTCAAATAATTTACTATACAATCAGCACTGCCACTGGGGGTCACTGAAGATAAAATAATACCTGGTTCAGAGCAAAACCCAGCAAACTTCACCTGCAGTGCCTGTTTCTAGAACGTTCCGGGGAACATGGCCACACGTGTGTTTGTGCATCGTGTGGCTGCTTCTCATGAACAGCACAGCTGAGCTGTGGCAACAGAGATCACGTGGCTCCTAAGGCCCAAACCATCGTTTGGCCTTGGCAAAGCCAGTGCAAAGAATTCCACTTGCAAACCCTGAAGGGAATCAAATGTCTGAGCTCTCCTGTCTGCATCAGCTGTTTAATGCAGCGGGGTCCTCCTGCCCTGAGAGCGAGCTGGTCTGCTTCCCGTACTGCTCTCGTGCCGTAACCTGTTTATGAAGAGACTCGGCGTGGGGAGCGGGAAGGAGCCGGCCCCGCGGGAGCTGCAGACAGGCCGGCTGCGGCCACACTGGAGCCCAGAGGGAATGTGGAGACTGGAAAGCCATGCAGCGTGGTCATATTCCACGGAAGCTGGCCTCCTCCATCACGTCGGAGCCACAAGCCCTAACTACAGCTCTTACTACCTTTTGCTTCTTCAGTGTAACAAAGCCGTATCTGAGAGAACCAAAGGTTCTATACATGGTTCATTATTTCTATTTTAGATGCTTTCATTTCCAATGACGTTACTTGACACTGTAGTATTTTATCTATAGTGATAAAAACGTCACAGCTTCGATGTTAGCAAGCCTACGGGGGTGGTGAATGACGTCATCCTGGATGTCCATCGCGAGAGCTGAGAGCTAGTTTGCGTCTCAGGGAGTGAAATCACCGACAGTTTCACTGACCAGGCACCGAGATGCTGACGTGTCTGCGGACTTCAACGCCGCTACTTGGGGACGAGCGACAGAACCCAAGGGGGGGCTCCGACAGACAGACAGCGTGGAGCCTGCACTCACCGGCCTGAGGAAGGGCTTCTGGACCTGCTTGGTGAGGATGTGGAACATGTCCACGGTCTCCGTGGCCAGGGCCAGGTAGGAGCGCGAGACGCGTTCGTCCTGAGCAAGCTGAGACTGCCGGGCCTGCTGCTGGTCCTAGGAGACAGGGCGGGAGTCAGACTCGAGCCAAAGGCCGGGGCCGTCAGCCAGCGCGCGGCACAGCGCGGAAGGCAGAACGCCACACCTGACCGCGGGTTCCTCCTCTCAGCAAGGCGCTCTTTAGGGTGCTGAGTTAGGGTGACCCTGGCTCGTGGCTTAACTTCCAGCAGGCTCAGCTTCCTCGCGTAAAGGTCACATCAAGCCCCAGCCAGCACGGAGTCAGGCCCTGCACGGCCCTGGCACGCGGCGCTGACTCGGCGGCACCCCCCCCCCGCCTCAGCTGGCTGGGCCGGAGCTCCGTCTTATAGCCGCGGCCTGGTGGGCTGTGACGCCGAGGCCGCAGGCCTGGCCCCGGCCCCACCACCGGCACACGGCTACGTTCCTGCACCTTCCACACTGGAAGCTGTTGCCCCTGGGTACTGGCCCTGACCCAACCCTGCCCAGTCTGCCATGGCTGGGAACAAGAGTAAGGTGAATTTGACTCGTGAGTAAAGGAAGGCAGAGTACCTAGAGGTGCTGAGAGGAACAAGATATGGAAATAGCAGTCAGGCCCTCCTGCAGCAGCTGGGGAGACAGCGCAGACCAGACCAGTCTGGCGCCCACCCTGCCGGGAGACAACGGCCCCCGAGCAGAGTGCGGGAGAAGAGGAGCAACAGGGCAGAAGATTCCCGCCCGCCCTGGGAGGGTGGCGGGAGGTCTCCGAGGAGGTGGCCTCAGTGGAGTCCAAGGACGCGCGCTCCCAGCAGCTCTGGGTGGAGGGAACAGCCAGGGCTGTGTGGGGAGAGTGAGGTGACGCGGTGGGGACCCGGGCCGCGCTGCCTGGGACGCGACTGTGCAGACGGGCGGCTGGTGGGGGCGACCATGAGCGGTCAGTCACCAGCCCCTGTGTGGACACGAGCCAGGGTGGAGGCTGAGGCAGGGCAGGGCCCCTCGCACAGCAGCTGAGAGCGCAGGGGCCCGCGGGGGGGGGTGGGGGGTGAGCCGGGCCGGCCACGGCGGCGGCCGGCAGG